AAGAAAGAGAAAGGAGAAAATGCATGAGTAAACGAGTTAAAGGAAAGAAAGGGGGAAAAAACTCAAAAAAAAAAAAAAATTCAAAAAAAAAAGGAGAGGAAAAAAGAATTGTCAAGACATATTATAAAAATCCTCCTCGACAAGATTTCTTCCATTTGCCTTGGCCAGAAGGGGTGTGGAAATTTCGCACCCATCCTAATCCCCCAACAACCTCGGGAGGGAAAATGCAACGTTGAAAATCCCCTCGCAAAGGAGAAAATCATAGCATTTACGATAACTAGCTCTTCACATTAGTTTTTGCAGTCTGTGTATTTTAGCTCATATTGCATTACTAATCCGCCACACACTGAACCAGGACAAATGCTCCCATTTCGAGCTAGGCCCTTCCATTCCAAAGACGATGTCACGGAAATGCAAGAAGAGCCCAATGACAGCCGCGTAGAGAACTGTGTAGATGGCCCATTCAACTTTTGCGGGGAGCTTCCGCGTAAACCAGTTCACGCAGAAAGCCAGTGTTAATATGGAAAAATACAGCGCTGGGTAATAGTGGTGCACGTAGGTGACGCGAGCCATTGCAATAAAGGGGAAGTAGTGGAAGAACCATGCGATCGCTGGGTATATGCCGGAATAGTAAATGTGGTCGATCTCGGCCATATTGAGTTCGTCGTAGCCGCGCTGCCAGCGGACCAGGTACCAAAGCAGGATCATGCTGAGGACGACGAGACTGGCGGTTCCTCCCCAATAGACGATGGGGTTTCCGAGGAGGAAGTATTTGACGACGTTGTCCTCCCAGGAACACATGCGGAGACCTACGTGGAGGATTGGCCACTCCCAAAACTCGGAGGAGAGGTCATCTTGCTTATCCGGGTCAGGAACAAGGGCGTTGTTTGATGTCATCATGGCCACGTTGAGGTGGAGGAAGTCCTTTAGGAATGGCGATTTGTAGGAACCAGGGTCACCGGGTGGGACTAAAAGATATTCAGCGACCATGCTCAAGCCAAAGGACAAAGGAAGGGGGCTGCATGCTTACGCCTGTCATTAATGTGACTCTCAACATTCCAATGAGTGTAAATGTCTCGGGGATTATTTTGTTTGACGCATGTAGTTTCAATTTGCTTGAAACCCCACTGTGGAAGATTAACGTTGCCTGCGCGAAGATAGCAGCCCAGAACAGCGTGGCGAAGGCGGAAAGCAGTTGTCAAAGTCCGAATTTTCGACCTGTCCTTGGATGCGACATCGTTAACTACTTCAATGACCCAGTGATCTTTATGGTCTCCAATTGTTGTATTTCCATAACCTGATACTTCGTAGCTGCTCTTGGTCACTGGTGCAGCTATAGGATGCGAATGCAGATTACGTCCTGTCTGAGCGTGAACGAGCCGGATAACATCCTTGTCACCAATAAAATTTAAAGGAGCTTCCGGGTTGTAATCGGGCTCGTCTCGGCTCGGATAGAAAAACCAGTCATTATTGGCATCCTTGTGGTGATAGCAAGTGATCTGTTGCTGACCTGATCCTTCGGGGTAGGATTGGACATGGGAGTGGAGGAGACCGCCACCATATCCCATGTTTTTCAGGGTTGCCTGCGATCCTATTGCAATTTCAAGGGGGTTGTCTTTCCCAACGCTGGTGCCCTTTAGGTTGGCTTGGAAAAGAGAGCTCATCTGCGCATCGCCAGGTCCCGAGTTTTCGAGCACGAGGAAATGCAGGTAGAACGAAAACATGTAGACAAGAAGAGGAACAACAATCAATCCTGCTACTCGAGCCGCGAGATGTTGTGCAAGAACAACCTGTTTAAAGGAGTGGCACATCAGTTTATACACCATACCATAAAAATAATAATGGATCCTCCCCTACCTTGGGCATTTTTAGATCGCCAAACTTGTTCCACAGATCCTCAGCAGTGTATAGTCCAACCATCGCAGTAACAAAGAACCCCACCCACTTCACACTGCAGACACAGCCAATACTCAGCCCTGTCAGCATGAGCCATGTAAACCATTCCACCGTGAAACTTTTATTTTGAAGCCGGTGAAATCGCGCCCAGCACAAAACAGTCGTGAAAGTGAAGCATAACAGCATAGAATCGAGAAGAATAAATCTGGAGATGGTGGCATAGGAGTTCTCACAGAGAACCATTAGAGTCACCAACCAGACAGTCGAGCGGCGGAAGTTCATTTCGCGGGCTGTATAGTATGCTAGCGGTACGCAGACGGCTCCGAAAATGGCATTGAACGAACGCATGAAGGTATAGTTAAGATCCGGTGGGTACTTTTCTCCAGATTTGAACTCAAACGAGCCATTGTAGCCCGCAAGGTAACCCGACAGGCCCACTAGCATTTTCCCCAGCGGCGGATGGACATCGAAATAGAACTCCCTCTTCAGGTAATGGGAGCCAAACTTGCCAAAACTGGGATATGCGGGCGATTAGCCAGACGCCGCATCCAAAACAAGTATCGTACATCTCGTTTCATCTCGGGCTCCAGGACACTCACTGAGCTTCATCCCATGTAACAATATCCGACCGACCGATACGCCACATTCGTGTGAAGAAGGAGAGTGCAGTGAATATCAGGGGGGCAATGATAACTTCCCACTCGTCAAGTACATCGATGAATGAGAACTATGATTGAGAGAATAAGGGTTAGTTGAACTGAGGCCCTAAACAGACAATAAAATGGCAATTGGAGATAATATAGCTGGTAGATACAAGCTGCTAACGGTATTGGGAATTAGACCTGAAAGTTATAAAATATACCTTGTGTGGTGTTGCCTTTTTCCCGTCGATTTCAACCCGGACGTTGCTCGCCCCACTGTCTCCTTTTTGCAAGCCAAAGACATTTCTTCGACGAAGATCGGAGTTCTGTGAGGCGCCCGTTGTGATGGCAGACTCATAGGCCGCCATGACTGGGGGAGGCGGTAGGTGAACGGTGAAGACAAGAATGTGTGTATAAAAATTCAGGTCACGAAAAGAAGACTCAGATATAGGGAGATGGAATATGTTGGCAAAGTGAAACCGGTTAGTTGTTGGACAACGATAACATCCATCCAAAGATTTCTAGCAACTACCTCGAGATCTGGCCCGTCCAACAGCTCACAGATTGAACCAAGAGGGAAAGGATGAACGAAAGTCACCCGCGACCTTTGAAATAGAGAATGAAACAGATACCTAAAAAGAGATAAAATAGAGAGAGAAGACAAGGGGAAATGAGCCTCAGGGAAAGTAAACGGAAGCTAGTTAATGTACACGGGAAATTGAGGGAAAGATGAGCGTGGTGAGACAAAGCGAATTGAGCTAGCAATCCCTCGGTAGATGAGAAACGAAATACACAGAGCGAGAAAGGAAGCAAAAGGGGAGAAGAGGAATTAAAGATGCGAAAGGGAGAAGAAGTTGAAAGATGAAGTTGAAGTTGAAATTGAAATTGAAAATTAGTTAGGTAAATAGACCTAACGGCTGGGAAGTCGCAATGGCCCAGGTGGTCTTTCGGATTGGGGGGCTTTGTTTCGTCCCTAGGCACAGATTACGCTAGTATCGTATGGAAAAGGTATTGAAACTCCGTTTGGTGCCTCTCTGCCTGGCCAGGGCTGTTAAAAGTGTTTATTGTTGATGCCATCACAATTCCTTAACAAGCCTCGTCAAGTGATCCCACGCACGTCCACCAGCGCCCATGTGCGTTCTTTCTCGAAGCCATGTGGAATGCATGTATAAAGACGATCTTGACATTAAATTCTAAATTGAATTATTCATACGGAGTATACGTATATCTATTAACCAATGTTCTGGAAATCCGACTCGTCCCATCCGGGAGCATAATAATCTTCATATTATGTGAAAACGGTAAAAAAACATTAATTACCTGAAAAGTGGGTGTAACGATTTTAAAATTCGGCCGGAAAAACCTTCGGCGTGGTTGAATCAGACCAATGGCAGACCCCCCATAAAACCTACATCATACCTCACACATATCACACACATCTCTCTCGGCTCTTGATGGTGGTGATTTTAACCTATTTGCCCTAACCCTTGATTAACTAACCCTAAATCCTTTAACTCCTAATCTTAATCCTAATCCTAACTTACCCCTAACCCTGGTGTTGGGTGTTGAGTAATAAGTGTGCAGGGAACGTAGACTGTGTTTATTTTAGATGGGTGATGAGAATTTGGATCATGGTTTTAGAAAAGTGGGCTCAACTTTTAAACCACGTTCAACTGTAAGTACCCTCTGAAAATTAAATGTACCCCTGACCTCGATAATATAAAGCCTTGTATATCAACCCTGTTAATAACTTCAGAAATAAATTAGAAAGAGGTATCCAAAAGTGAATCCAACATTTGACCGTCTAAAATGTAATACGGAAATCCTAAGAAGTCATTACAAAAAATCAAGCGCCCCTCACACATAGGAATCAGGTGTGTACGTGCCATTCCTCTCCAACAGCCAATGAACAATAAAACGAGAGGATAGAGAAGAAAAAATTACAGCAATATAAAATGCGTCTCCCATGTAACCAACAATATGGAAGCGTGGACAGCGAGAAAAATTGACCAAACGTCGGAGACACGTAACTGCGTACCAAGTGTATATCCGTGAAGAGGGAAATAAAACAAAACGTAAATGAGAAATGAGAAACGAAAGAAACGAGAAGATGAGGCGGAGGTCCCATCAGTGATTATCCTCCTATGGCTCCAAGAAGAACATCCATCGCCAGACTGGAGTGACACCAGGCAAGAGATCAAATGGGGAATTCGAGGAGGGGAGATTGTATCAAATAACGCCAGAGATCTAAACAAAATTGGAACCGAGTGGCCGAAAAGAGGGAGATCAATCAGAACAGGCGAGGGACCACTGCACATCGCGGTATCGAGCAGTGACTTGGAACCAGACAGTGGCAATGAAACATATGTACCGTGGTAACTAGACCCCATGTTTGCTCCAAGCCAGAGTCAGCCAAGTAGTCTTCTTTCTATCCTTCACTTTGAAAGTCCCTCGTCTCCACATCTACCTTTCCTCATCCTGGTCAAGGCGACTATATCGCCCTTGATCACCCTTGTTTCCAGAGCTAGTCCCTCGCCCAACCATGCTGGATATCCAACCACGGATTCCTTCGCCGCGATAAGATCGCTCTACAGTGCCAGATGGAACTGGCTTACTGCTTGATTCAATCGGGTTGAGGTCCAGTTCTGGAATTCCATAATCGGCGCCGTGATGGTCATCGTGTGATCTTCGAAGATCAAGAGAGGGAATCGGCGATCCAGCGCCTATGAGCACATCCTGTTCAGCGGGGGTGGGGGGTGTTGGAGCTGAGGTTCCATCGCCGAAAACTGTATCCATATCCTCCAGACGAATACCGCTGGTTTCGGGGTATACGAAATACACTAGAAAAAGGTTGGTCAGACATTGGAAAACAGTGGCATAGCAGCAGCAGTAGCAATGCATGGCAAGGTGACAATGTGAGCTTACCTAGAACAAAACTGACCGCGCAGAAGAAAGCATGCATCAAATACAAACGCCATTTGATGGCTTCTTGCAAAACTGGGGTCAATTCTCCCACAAGCCAATTAAACGCCCAGTTCGATGCAGTGCTCAAACTCGCTCCTTTCGCTCGAATACTCAGTGGTAGAATTTCCGGTGGGTATAGCCATGGAATTGGGCCCCACGAAGCACCAAATGCAGCATTGTATATCATGACAAAGATAACGGTAAGGATCGGGGTGCTCTTAATATCAAGATAGAGCCAATAAGAGATAAATGACAAAGATATAATCATTGCCACGGCGCCGGAGAGCAGAATTGGTCGTCGTCCCCAGCAGTCGACAAGGTACCATGGCGGAATAGTCGATGCCAGGTAACTGAGTGAGTTAATACCTGTCATGAGAATTGCCTTGCGTCCCATCATGCCTGCAGATTCGAACACCAGTGGTGCATAATACGAGATGACGTTAATTCCATTAAGTTGAGCAAACGCCTGGGCCGACATTGCGATAAAAACACGTTTGCCGTAGCGGCGAAACATTTCTGCATATGACCGTTCGCCCTCTTGTCTCTGAAGTAAAACCCCCATTTTAATTTCTCGATATTCTTGGCGGGCTTTGTCATTGTGAAGGTCACCCTCAGCATAGAGGTTGGCGATTACAACCATTCCTTCTTCATCATGATCATTGTCTAGCAACCATCTATTGTTTTCAACAGTGTCAGTGACGATGTAAATATCGACGGTAAAATAAGCGGGAAGTTGGGACCTTACCGAGGAGATTCACAGATAATAAGAGACCCAACACCCAAAAAAGCACCCATAATGCATTGGAACGCCAGTGGTAACCGCCAAGCATAATTGTTTGGGATAAAACTGCAAAAATAATCTACCCACACGCTGGCAGCGTAACCACAAATGTTTCCAGTGAACTCTATACAAGCCAGCTTGCCTCGATTATGCGGAGGAGATATTTCAGACTGATAAACAGGCACAATGGTAGATAAGGCACCTACACCCAAACCCGCAATGATACGACCAACCAGCATCATAGGAATCCCTGTAGCGAATGTCTGGAGAGCGCCTCCAATGAAAAACACGATGGATCCGTAGAGGATAGTGCGAGTTCTACCGATAATATCACCAATTTTTCCGACGATGAGAGATGAAATAAACGCCCCGACTTCTAGAATAGCAACCATGGTACCAATCTCCGCCCGCGTGGGTTGGTTAAAATAGTCTTTGAAGTCGGCACCCCTAATAGAACTAGTAAGATTCTGTATTTTGGAGAAGTGCAAATGATGCCCATATATCCTCGAATTCCCGGTAGTGCTATTGGCAGAATTGGAGGGGATATAGACAGTTAAACAAGTGGGTGAAACGTACGTGATAATGCCCGACATGACTCCCTGATCATATCCAAAAAGGAAGACACCTAACGATACAAAGACACTCGTGAAATATCTAAGTAGGTCAAACAAACATCAGTACTTGAGTTATATTCGATTTCAAGTGAGGTACTCGGTTTGAATAACAAAGGCAAACATACAGCAATGGTTTGCCCACCAAACCCTTGGCCTGGACCTTGTGGATGTTTCCAGGTGACATGATGATGGTTAATATTTTTTCCGCCCTGGAAACAGTGCGAGGGGAAGGGGAAGGGATAATGATCTCCTTGAGAAGGCCAGCGCGGTTGTGGTCGAGTTCGAGGTGGTTGTGCCCGTGAGGGTGGCCAGGCGTCTGGTGGTTGATCCGTTTTGAGCGTTTCCCGCGGGAGCGGAAGCCAGTTCTACCAAAAACCTGATGATCAAGAGAGCGACGAAGCTGAATTTGAAGGGGATCTTCTTCGTTGGCGAGCTGTTCAGCCAAATCACCCGAATCGGACCAGACGGAGAAGTCGGAGTCTGTGGCAGATGGGGTTGGGGAGGGAGAGAACTTAGCGAACCGCCGGTTGCCCTCTTTCTCGCGTGAGGATTCGTGCAGCGAGGCAGGCGGATCAGGCGAGGGCCGGGAATGAGGAGATAGGGACCGGAGGGAAATCGAGTTGGAGGTATTGGGGGGAGTTGAGGATGAAATCGTGACGGTGGTGAGAGGGCCGGCCGGAGCAGCCCTACGAAAGACAAAGGAGGTTGAATAACGATAGAGGAGGTAGAGGACGAGGTGGAGTGGAATGTGAAGTGTGATGTAGGTACCAACAACGTTGGGTCGGGAGAGAGAAGCCCCAAAAGGGACGGCTTGTGGGCGTTAGGGTGTCAACCAAAGGGTGTCAACCAAGGGGTTGAGAAGAAGCCTGACATCCGACGAAAATGAGTTGACCGACAAGCATCGAAATATGCGGGGGGTTGGATTGGTTCCTGCTGATGTCTGGAGCGGAACCTCAGATGCGCTGTTAGTTTGCGTCAATCAGTGGGGGTTTTGTGATTATATCGAGCATCCATGCAGGGGCTTTGTTGCAGGCCCCTTGTATGCGGTGTATGTGTAGCTGTTGTCGTCGGCTGGCTGTTGGAGACGAAGAAGTTACCTGAGGAGAGGCTAAGGATTCGTTTGGCTGTCCCGTTATTTACAGGTGGTGTGTATTGTGCATGTATGTACTGAACCTCCCCATATGCGTGCGGTACTTGTAGTGCTGTCTCTGGCATGCAAAAAAAAAGAGCAGTGGTACCTGCCACGAGTACCTCGATTTCAAGTTCTGGTGCAAAAGACTTGCGCAAGCTCCTGGTTATTTCTGGTTTACTTCAGCTTCTCCCTGATTTGATGGGAAAGTTTTATTATCTAAGAAAAAAGTAATAATAACGGATCTGGCAATAACCACCAAACCAACTCCATCCTGCCTCTAAAACATCAGATTTCAACAGCAACATGTCTCTGGAACTAGTTAGATGGGAATTGAAAGCCAAGACCGATTCGGAGGCAGTGAAAGATACAAATACCCAACCGAATAACAGGCACCGTACCTACAGGCTACTGTCAGCCCAGGTGACTTGCGGTGATAACTGTCCCCATAAAGAAGCGCCATGGACCCGGCCAAGAATCCCAGATTTGCCCTCGGGTATTTCTGATTGTTCGCCCTGTCACTCTTTTTGCGGAATCAACTGAGCAAATATTCAGTAGCTATAGACTTGTTCAAGTAATCCAGATTATATCATTCCCACCAGACATGACCGCACCACAATAATAGGGGAAATTAAAGCATCATCTCTTTAAGGTTCTTTCTTCCCGCAAGGGTTACCCACTACAACGTTGTTTTATGGAGACTTCTATATCTTTTCCCTGGAGCCCATCCTGATACCACTCGTTCTTCTCTCCGCAAAACCAGTGAGGAGATCTCATTGATTATTATTGCTTTCTTTCGCCCCCCCCCCCCCCCCCCCCCCCAAACATTGCGCGGAGATACGGAGTAATCTTGGTCTCCACATGTTTTGTCTGAAACCGAGTCATTGAAAGCATGGTATTGAAGTGCTCGAAAAGTCTAACCATGGAGTAATTATACCCCTTTCCAGTACATACACTTATTGGATGGCATCATTTATTCATTTGACAGTTTTGCCTCCACCTGCAACAAGGAATATTAAATAAATTAAGTTCTTAAAGATGCCATGGGCTAACTAAATGTCTTCAGCCCATTATTATTATATAGAGTCTATTATAATATAAATTTTCCAGAATTCCTGATGCACCTATTGTCCGTCCATGGTTCCACCATACCTTCGTATCCGCCTTGCTGAATCATGGTTTAAAGCAGCGCTGAAGAGACTTTGATGCAAGTTGGGTGGGCAACATTGGCATCGGTTTAGCACAGCCATATGGAATAATTACCTCCTAAAGAATACCAACATCAAACGTCAAAAGACTCTGGAGACCTGGTTATCCCTGGGGGCACAATTTATTCGAGTCATATATCCCTTGCCCCATAACCAGCTGATAAGACGGCTAAGTAAGCCACCTAGTAACTGTGCGGTGGCAGTTGAATCATTGGAGTCAGTAGACCAGGAAGACGTCACTTTCCAAGCCACATATCTAGCGCTTGCGGCATTGATCCTAGTCACGAAATCATTGAAATCTCAATTACATAATCCACCACTGAGCGAATAACGTAATCAATAAGCGAGCGAACCATATAAGTGAGCGAACCACTTCTCACCCTTCATATAATGAGAAATGCTCTGCATCAAAAATGTCAATCACACAAAAAAATAAAGCCTCTACTCAGGAAGGAAGGCTTCTTTTAGTCATTCAAGTACTTAAAAATGATCAAATTTCAAGTGTATGAGCTGCAGCAAAGCTATATAAAGTCTTTTATGCAACTTTAATTCATCATATATATAGTCATATAGCATATGTTGATACACTTTCAAAGAACTGGAAACTTAGTCTTACAGAGGAAGAATCTCTTGTTCAATGAATTCTGATCATGAATGAGTGAGATCAGCCTCTCTGAGTTGCAGCTGTATAAGAAATGATTAATCTTCTTCTTGTCAGTTAAGGATTTAACTCCTCACTCACAGTGAGTGAATACTGAGTATGAAACTTTGTCAAGTATTATGATGAGTTGAAATCCAAGTTCTCACACAAGTATAATTATCAGTGAGCTCTATGTGAGGATTCTGAGATTATTCATAAGTGATTTAGACTTATATGAAATACTATTGTGAAGTATAAAATTCTGAAAGATAATATTTACAATTTTGATGAGATAGAGTTTCAAATAAATGTAATTGAGACTGTCAGGATGATGACTGAATCTGAAAGAGCTGAGAATCTCAAGTTTGAACAGCTTGAAAATCAGAAATGAGTGACTGTTATTGCTGGAGTCAATATAACTGACTGAATCTTACATATAATGATTATTCTCAAAAGAAAAATGCATCAATTCTGCTGATATAAGATAGAAGAGCTATCACATGACTGAGTGATTGAAGTCAGTGAGAATGACTGAACCACTGATTAGCTGAGCTTGTACTGACTGAAAGAGATGTTCAACAAGAAGACTCTATCATATATAAAGAGTAGATATTAACTGTTAATTCTAGACTGATATTGAAGCTATATCTCAGCTGAATTTGATCAATTTTATACTGAGAATTAGATCATTGTCCTCTATATATCATTACATTTCTCTCATCTTCTTCAGTTATTAAATATTGACTGCTTCTCATTTTTGAAAACTGTATATGAACAGCAGATGGAAAATCAAATACAGCTTGAGATTAATCATATTGACAAAGAGAAGTTTCTGAATCTCTATTCTGCAGCTCAGATGCAGGCCCTGACTGAGAGCAATATCAAGAGCAGCTTTAGAGCTGCTGAGCTGGTTCTATATAATTTTGAGCAGATTCTCTTATAACTTAATATCATGATACATACTCTTATTTTCTCAGAGATTTTTCACAGCTCTCAGGCCTTCTGGGTGACAGTCACATCATATAATATATGTCAATTAAAGCAGCAGGCTGAGAAAGTTAAAGAATATATCAAGCAATGTATGCAAAGCTTACTCAGTTTAATCAATCATGCTTTAAGTCAGCTGGTCAATGAATGTCAAATAACAATGCACAGTACTACTATTCTAGCAGCTGAAAATGGAGAGTTAAGAGCTCAAAATGTCAAACAAAAGAGAAAGTAAGAAAGAAATTATATATATATAGCTCAAAAGAGTACTTTGAGAGTTGAATAAAACTTGAATCATGTACAAAGAATCAATAAATGAGAGCAGAGAATGATTGAAACTGCTGAGTTATAATCACAAAAACATGTAACATCATAATGTAGTGTCTATGAGATTATTCAGCATACTGCTCATACGCTCTAAGTGTATATAGAAAATAATTTATAATGTAATTTGCTAGTTTTTCTTTATAGTTGAGGCTTTGAAGACATTCTCATTATATAGAGAGTAGGAAGTGGTTCACTCACTTATATGATTCACTCATTTATTGATTATATTAACTAACTAACTAATGTAATTTCACACTAAGTCAGTTATCACTCTGAAGTAGCCAGCAAATTCACTGTATTCTAACTAAATAGTTTTTAATTCAAATTATCTCAATGCAATAAAGCTCAATTAAATTAAATTAAATTATACTTGATTGAGAGTATCTTAGTCTTGTATACTCAAGCATTTCACAATTACTGCATCTTCATGATGCTTATACATATGCTACAGGCTCAGCAGCTGAAGACTCATAGAGTTGAATAACTGACTGTTCAATAAACTCTGCAGGCTCTATAGAGTCTACTAAAAGATTTTAAACTTCTTTACTAGTTAAATCTCCTACTTTCTGTTCAATTTGATACCTAGATCTCTTGCACTTTTACTTTTCTATCTCATTGATGTTGAATATATTCTGATATTACTTATTTATAATTGTGATACTGATCATCTCATATTCATAGATCTTGATAATTTGATCAAGATCTTTCACAAAGTCTTGAGGTTGACCCTTTACTAAGCTCTTGATCTTATTCACCTGCCAGTGTAATTACTGGGAATTACTAGATATTTGAAATACTCAAGATATGATTGAATTACTAGAACTATTGTATAGAGGAATAGAAGTCTATAGTTGAATATTTAACTGCTGAAGAATATAGTCAGACTGAAAGAGCACTATTTCAGCTGCCTTGAAGTCATTTTGAATAGTCTAAGGTTTGAAGGCTATAGCATGTGCTGCAGAGTAGACATCTAGAAAATCTCTCTTTCAAATAACATTAAATTCAAACTGCATCTACTGCTGAACTAGATCTCTATATACTCACTTTAAAACTGAAAAAATAGTCACATCTAGTAACTGCAGAAGGTGAAAGAAATGAGGTAGTATGCTGTAAAGGGTTAAGCTCTAAGAACTAGAGGCTAGTCCTCCTATATAACAAGGACAAATTGCTTAGAAAAGGGAAGAAAAGAATGAGATAAGAACATGAGCTTAAGCAAGCTCGTGTAGCATGATCACATGCGCATATGCAGCATGATCATATGTGCATGTGCAAATGATGGCTAGGCTGAGTCAGCCAGCCAGAGCAAATCTAAAGGTTCAGCCCCTTATAATACCTCTCTTCTTCCTCTTTGTTGTGAGTCTTTATGACTATTTAAAGCCCTCTTTATATCTAATTTTGCCTGCTGAGAGGCCTCTCAAGTGTCCAAAGCCTTCACTTCTTGTAGAAGACTCATGTCATTTCATGTAGGCTCAGCTCAACTTACTTATTTAATAAGGTATTGCTTTTTCCTCTGGTAGATTCATTCACTTCAAATTTCCTCAATCTCAAAATCAGATCTCTCCAGGGTCTCTATAGTGAGTGACTGCCAGTTGGTTTGCCTCTGACTAGGCA